AGGATGCTGTGAAAAGAACACAGCAACACCAGCTCACATGAGAAGGAAAAGACAAGGAGCTCAGGTCTCATTAAATCCTAATGCAACAACATGGTCTAATAGCCTGCAGCCTGGTCACCTTCAATCATCTCTGTGTGTGTGTAGGTGTGTGTGTTATTTCGCACTCTAACACAAAAACATACAGATGCAGCAGGAGGTATTTATCTGTTCATCTACATTCCTGAGGCTTCTCACCACCTATCACTGTAAGCTGTCTTACCACAGCCATTCTGAAGGACTGAACTAACGTCAGACAACCTCCACACACACACACACACACACACATACCCCATTTAAAGTAGAGCAAAGATAATTTTGAGAAACCGTAAAAACTGCATTATTTCTAATACGTTCCAAATTGGAATTTAATTTTCTGCTAACATCTAAACAGAAAGGGGTTTTTGCACAGACTTCCATTCCACTCTCAGTTCTTTCCAGTTCTTAATAGTCTATACTCTGAGATAGTGCCTTTCTTTCTTTAAACACCAGATGAAAAAAAAAAAAAAAACCCTTCCCTCAGCTCTCAGCAAGAAAATGTTTTCCCTGGGCATTAAACAGCTTTCATCTGGTGTTTAGACCAGATTTGGTCCCAGCATGTTAATAGATTCAAGGTTCTTAGTGGGATGATAAGCAGCGCATGTGGATGTTCGTGGCATTGCCTTGAGATGCAGCAACTGTGACACGGTGGGCGTTCCACAGGACCACCAGGTGCACATCTGTTGTCCCAAAATAAAATAAAAACCCAAATAATCCCACATCGTTTAAATGGGATTATTTGGGAATAAAATGTCCATTGTTGAGGCCTTTTTTTTGCAACAGACACTGCAACAGTGTCTTGTTTTGATGACCATTGGCTGTATTCATGGTTCATTGGACCAATGGTATTAAAACTGATTTTCCAACTTATTGTTTTCTAGACACTTTTTCTCATATTCTCCTCTGTTTCAACAAATCATCTCCAGTGTGTTTGCTTTAATCTTTAATCTTCAATAGACATTTATATAAAACAGCACAGGTGTGTTTGTGTAAAGGACAGATTGATATCATGCATTTGTCTCCTTTATGGACAGATGATGAATCTTCGTCCTCACACAGAGATCGTGTTCTGATGTTTTAAGGCTCAAAGCAAACGGAAAAATGCTCATATTTAAATTGAAACGTGAGGTGTTTTTTTTGTTTTTTCCAATATAACATTCTCCACATTACTGTATAAAGAGCTACAGTTAGCTGAAGCTAACTCTATCCTCTAGATAAGGCATGTCAGAAAAGGTGACCAAGGGATTTCTGTAATGTTTGTTAAATTAAAGGTGAGGTCTTAAAAAGAAACAAACATTTCACACGTCCACTTTACACATTGTGTGTGTTCCTGCTATAACTATACCTATGGAGACTTGGTTTTTAATGGTTGGTTGGTTTGGAATAAGACTGTTGTTTTGGGGAGACATTGTCCCTATGAGGACATGTTTCAGGTCCCCCCAGAGTGGAGTTATCATTTGAATCAGTGCCAGATTAGAGTAAGGGTTTAATCTTAGCCATCATGGGCCGAGGGACTAGGTTAGGCATTACTGTATGTCAACGTTACGTTCTCAGAAAACACAAAAACTAGTGTGTGTGTGTGTGTGTGTAAAGCAATTACACACTTGAAGAAGTTTGCCTTGAGGCAGGATATTTAACACTGGTTATCCATTTACCACATGTCGGCTGTACTCATTACCTTAATGTTACCCAGTAATATTCAAAAACTATACTCTATGTTTTATGTAGAACAGTATCTTTGTGGATTCAACTGAAGGGCATTTAATTGGATTAATATTGTATTATTTTAAGACGATTAATAAATGGAAACTGATACAATAAACAATACAACAAACAAAAGAAATTTACATAAACATCTAGGAAACACTCACAGCAGGTCTGCAGGTTAAAAATACGCTTGGTGTCATGATACAATTGTAACTGGACGGTCACAGCAGTTACTCCTGAGTATTTCTGGAGGGATAGGGGGTTGTAGTTTTTTATTTTAATTTCATTTTTTTAATAAAGCTAGATGCACTGAAAAGGAAACAAAGTATCCTAACGAGAGGCCACAAATAGGTCTGTTTTTATACTAATTCATATTTAAGTGCAGCTGTGCAGTGAAGGCAACATGACCATACATTCCAGGGCTTCTAGTTCTGTCACTTCTTCTTCCCAAATTTAAATATTCACCATCTGAGGGTTAAAACCCTGATTAGATCAACCCTGAACTAAAGTATTAATGATCTGCCTTAGCAGAGGAGGAGATCAACCCTGAACTAAAGTATTAATGGTCTGACCACTGTTTTTCCTAAATTTATTTAGCTTCTAGTGCAGCTTGAACTCAGATACTTTTTTTAAAAGAAGACAGCGACACTATTATGTTTACAATATTTAAACTCATCCATTTCTTGCGCCTTTTTATTTTTTGCAATAATAATAATAGCAATAATAAACACTGTATTTCAAAGGTTATTTCAGTTGATGCGCACGTGTGTATCTGGTCTTACATGTGCATACACACGCTCACACACTGCATGCAGATTTTTTTGCAGGGAGTGGTCACTCCCCGAGTTTAAACAACAGTTGAGGAGGGAGATCCTGCCTCCAGGAGCCAGCCAATCACATCACTGTATTTAAAGATGAAAGTTGGTTCCATTAAGGAAGTCCCACGTTACCCGCAGCACTCTCGACTCCTTTCACAACAGACTCTGTTTTTTCCTGCCTGTCAATGCCAGGAACCCATTAAGGAGCAGTGGTAGGGGACAAGTCAGGGAAACAATGTGAGGATGGACCACACCATTGTTCCCTGGTGGAGCGCTGTCTGAAACGTCCTGTCGTTTTACTTTATTTCTTACCAAACTGCAGTGCACGTGTCCACGGTTCATCCATAAAACCTGGATGCATTAAAAACAGTTCCTCTGTTTTTAATCACAGGAGGCTCCATCCCTACCAACAACCTCAGTGCTGCAGGGCCGGGGATTTACAAGTTCTGGCTCATAAACTGCTAACGCAAATGTGGTTTGAGGCACAAGTGCAAAACAACGCAATCACAGAGAACTTTAAAACTTTTAATCAAACGTTAAGTACCTGGAAGCATCTTTAATTGTTGGACTCCTAATGGTAATTAAGCAAAGATATTGGAAACCTGCAGCACAGAGACACGATGCCCAAAATAAATGAAAAGCAAAATCTTTAAACTTAGTCCATCAGTGAAACTTGACGATGAGGTGCGTCTTATACACGTAGCTTCATGATTTTCCATGAATACTGCAGTACTATTTCAGTCATTATTTACATTATATATAAATAAAAAAATCTATACATTTATCCTCCGATGTCATGTGATCACACTGGCTGTAGGTTTGTTTAAATGACCTGTCATTTTCTATTTTGTAAACTCTCTCAGTTAAACAGTGTAGAGTTGCAAGAAACCCATCTGTGGTGCACGAGTTAATAATCAATGAGATGAGCGATAAGGTCTCTGAGGTCATTTGATCAACACCAGACGGACTGATTCACGTTGGTTTGTCAACAGAACCAGGCTGATGGTAACATGGATTCAGAGGCTGTTACAGATGCAGGCCGTCTGTGCTCTGCTGGTAATCCTTGGGACCCAGAGACACCTGCATAGCTAATGTCAATATGCATTAATCATTTAAGACTGATGTTCCAAAGTGGCTCATTTTATTTAAAAATAAATGCATTTACATCTTTTTAGAGATCCACATCTGACACACACACACACACTCCAGACCATGTGATTGAAAAACTGACTGTTTTTTTTTTTTTCTCAAGGTATTCAGACTGTGGGAAAAGGCGGTTGAGTGAACAGCTGTGCAGCAGGTCCAAAGTCTACAACAGCACCTCTGTCCTGATAGGAGCTCAACCTCCTGCCGCTGCTGATAGTGAGGAAAACATCTCCAGCTTTGGGATATAAGCATGGTGAGAGACAGAGCTGCGAAAGCAGGCAACCACTGAGAAATTGTGTGTCAACAGAGAATGAGATTAGTAGTGCTATCCCTAGGCGTTCACTCAGCTGGTATGAGTGTGTGTGCATCTGTGTGTGTGTGTGTCTGAGTACATACTCTAGGCTGGCGTAGCAGTGATTTCTGAGTTTTTGCCATCTTTGACTGACAGAGAGGGAGAATTTGGCCAATCCTCCTCCCTCCAACAGCACAGTGAGGAAGCTCTTTAAACAAGAGTAACTTTTACACTGGGTTTAAAACAACTGCTGTGGGACTGATTATGGAAAATGTACTTTGTCAGGATGTTGGGAAACATATTTGAGACTATGGAGTTTCTGTCTAGTCCTTGAGAGGCAGAGAAAAAATCCAGCTTTACTGAAACCTTCAGATTTTCTAAACCACAAGTTTTATTCAAGGCATTAAGGACCCAGCCTATTAGGTCTCAATTCAAACAGCAGTTTTTTTGTTCATTTTCACATTTATCGGTGAAGCATGATTATTTAGCAGAGCAGGAAAAATCAGCACTCAACCTACTCTTACGAGCAATCAACACAGCAGTGTGCAGCAACAGACTTGTGCCGTGTGGGCCCAACAGATCATTTGCAGGTTGAATGGAGCCTCGTAGGAGAACTCAGTGGATGTGGATGTCAAGGTCTGGAGAATATGAACCACATGGTCGCTGCAGGCACTCAGCCAGTTCAGGCAGAGAGCACAGATTGGCAAAGACTGGCACCAGTCAACATTCACACACACGTCCACACACACAAACACACACACAGCTTATCTGGCTTAGGACACGTCCACACACACGTCCACACACACAGCTTATCTGGCTTAGGGGGAGGAGGGAGGTAGGGGAGGGGGGACACAACCTGTAACACACTACTGTAGACAAGACAGACGAGCACACAAAATGTACCACGTGTTTTGTCTTTGCTGACAGTTATGTTTAGAAAACAGTGTCGTGATGTCACGTAAAAAGAGAGGGTGAGCGGTGTGGTGACGAAGGAAGAAAAGCAAAAAAAGGAATGGAGCATCTCTGGTCAAACTTTCACTGCTTCATTTTTCAATGGCCTTGTCCATTTGCCTTCGTCATGACCAGAGACTTTCACTCTCTGTGCAGTAGGTTGACATTTCATACATGGATGACCTTCTGAGACATTGTCCATTTGCAAGTCACTCATCAAATCATCATCAGAATTAATTATTCTTACGACACAAGACACTCATGCTGACCTACACAAAAGCATTAACTCCAGAAGGTGGGGGAGGGAGGGTGTCTTACACTAATATAGATCTGCCATGTCTCCGCTCAAATGTTGCATGAGTAGATAGGCACAACATGCCCTTTAACCTGAGCGTGGTTTGAAAGCTCTAAATGTCACAGAGTACAGCTTAACACTACATTCACACACTTTGTGGCAACCTCTAAACATGTCCCATGTGTAACAGGAATGCATCGCCTTGTTAATGCACTGTAGCTGCGGTAAGAAACCCCACCATGTCCAATGGTGTGTGGCAGGCAGAGCAGAGACCAGGATTAGCTGTGGACTCCACTGAGACAGAGGGAAAAGCAGAACGATGCTGAGATCTCAGAGAAGATTACTAGCTTATGAAGAAATTGAACAAGAACCCCCTACTATATTCTATAAAATTGTGTTATACATAAAATACAAAACACACACAAAAAACAAAAGCAAAATGCAACTTGTCATTTTGCATCTAATCCAGAGCTGTTCAAATAATTCACAGGATCACAGAAGTAGACTGTCAAAATGATTGTGTTAACTGTGATAAAAAAAAGTGTGAAATTAATTAGATAACACTTTACATGCACTCAAACCGGCATTGGTCTGATAACAGCCTATCCAGTCTACACCTGTGGTTATTTACACATGCTGTGGGAAAAGTCTTTGTTTCACAGAAGCACATCAAGCTTAAAATACCATCTCAACACCCAGCATGTGGCATGTGTTTGCAGGAGCTTCATCTGTGGGCGAGAAGCCCAGCTTGTATCAGACCTGTAGGAAGTAAATCCACAGCTGACAATCTAACCGACTTCAGTTTGTGTAAAAATGTGAAGGATTTTTTTAAATCATCTAATTAACCAAAGATTTATTAGATGATTTTTAAGGAAGCCTCCCCGCAGTACCTCCGTTGACGCCCTAGGGGCTGCTGACTCCCATTTAAACACCTCTAATGAAAAACAACATCCCTTTGCTTTTTCTGCTCCGCTCCATCCTCTGCCAGGTTAGCACACCATCTACAATGTGTCTGAATCATAACCACATGTACTGTATATGTGCCCTTATCAGGCGGCAGCTGAAAAACATTAGTCGGGGCCAACGGGGAATTTGAGTGAAAACTGGCACCGCTAATGAAACGCTTTAGAGCAGGGATCAACTGGTATCCAGAGACATAAGAGACATGGACAACAGACAGAGAGAGGGAGTGATGGCAGCACAACAGACACAGACTGGTTGGCATGATTGTGAATGTACGCTGCACAAGTGAAGTGGTTTGCACGACTTGAGGAATCAGAAACAGACACAGGTTGTGAAGATACCAAAGCCCAGTAACAAAAATAAAAAAGATATACACTGACGCACAGAGTGATGATAGGTTCAT